ACAACATAAATCATCTCAGGTCATTATACAGAAACATTCTTATACATAAAAAGTAAGTTAATAACATTATCTGAGGAGCAGACTGCTTTAAGCTTAACTTAATTGCAAACGCTCATCTTGAGAAAAAAATTAAGGCGACAGTAGAAAGGAAAAACGCCCTCATGAGGAAGAAACCTCCAGCAGAACCAGGCTCAGGACAAGCGGGGCCATCTGCTTCGACCGGTTGGGATTGAGAGAACAGGAAGGAGGAATGGATGGATACACAATCACAGGTCAAGTATCACATGTAAGATAGAAATAATATCAAATAAAACTATTCAATTGTAAAATTTAATTTTAAGAAATCTGGTCAATTTGTCCTCCAGTTGTCTAAGTCTATAGCAGCATAACAAGCCAATGCTAATGATAGGATTTATCAAAAAGAAAATTCTTAAGCTTAGTCTTAAAACTGGACAATGTGTCAGCGTTATGGACAGGAACTGGAAGTTGGTTCCACAAGAGAGGAGCCTGATAACTGAAAGATCTTCCTCTCATTCTGCTTTTGGAAACTCTAGGAACCGCAAGTAAGTCTGCAGTGTGAGAGCGATGTGCTCTGTTAGGAAAACATGGAACAATAAGATCTCAAATATAAAATGGAGCTAAGTTGTTGAGGGCTTTGTATGTTAGAAGTAAAATATTGAATTAAATTCTGAATGTGACAGAAAGCAAAAGGAGAGAAGCTAAAACTGGAGATATATGATCTCTCCTATCAACTCTTACTGTATCAAGACTCTGGCAGCAGCATTTTGGATGAACTGAATATTTTTTAAAGAAGTTTTTGGATACCCAGATAATAAACCATTGCAATAGTCCAGTTTAGACGTGATAAATGCATGAACCAGTTTTTTTGCATCATTTTTAGATAAGATGTTTCTAATTTTAGAGATATTATGCAGGTGGAAGAAGGTGGTTCTGGGGACGTTTTTAATGTGGGGGTTAAAAGCCATGTCTTTTTTTTTAATGTTATTATTTTTATGTCACAATGCCGGTCAGGACAAGGGAAAAAAAATGCCATGTCTTGATCAAAAACAACAACAAGATTTTCAACATTAGAACAGGAGGCCAAATTAAGGCCATCCAAGGAGGGCGAAAGACAGCAAAATGTATTCCTAAGATGAATTTTGAACAAGTTTGACATGACTGTCAACGAGGAAGTGGGTCGACACAAGAGGAGGGGGCGTGCCAAAGACACCATCTTAGCACCAACATAACTGGTTTGTTCCATTTTGGAGTAAGCTGTTGGGGGAAGAATCAGTTTTGTGTTGTGCGCTTCCTTGATAGATGAAGCCTTCCAGATCGAAGGTGAAACGTTTCAGCTCAAAAAAAATAAAATGTCCAGATGGCCTGACTGAAAAATGTTGGATTGTATACCTGGATTATTGAGCATGGACTTTATTGTGATCAATTGTATCAAATGCATCACTGAGGTCTAATAGGACCAGTGTAGACTCAAGTCCATTGTCAGAGGCCATGATGATACCATTAGTAACCTTCACCAGTGCTGTTTCTGTGCTGAGCTCTAAACCCTGACTGAAACTCCTGAAACAGATAATTTATTTGTAGATGTTCACGCAACTGACCAGTAAATATTTTCTCTAGAATTTTTTAGATGGAAGTTAGATTAGTTATAGGCCTATAATAGGCTAGGATTCCTGCATTGAGATTATGTTTCTTAAGTAAAGGTTTAATCATAGCAATCTTAAATCACTATATAGTATGTAACCATTCATTAGAGATAAATTACGCAGATCCAAAATGTGAATATTAATTAAGGGAAATACCTCTTTATATAGTCTGGTTGGGATGGATCTAGCAGGCATGTGGATATTTTAGATGAAGCTATTATTTTTGACAGTTCAGAGAGCTCAACGGGACAAAAACATTCCAAACATAAATCCGGTTCTAGTGACATTTTTAAAGTTGCCTCATCAGACAGGTAACCAAAGGTGATAGTAGGAAGGATAGTTTGAATTTTCTCCCTAATTTAAATAACTCTATTTATAAAGAATCTCATGAAATCACCATTGCTTATAGTTGTAGGGATAAATGTTCAACAGAGATAGGATTTTTTCATTAAACTAGCTATGAAAAGGAAACTGGGGTTATTTTTATTCTCATCAGTTAAAGCTCCATCCATCTATCCATTATCTTTTACCCGCTTCTTCCATTTTTGGTCACGGGAGTCGCCGGTGCCCATGTCCAGCAATCACTGTGCGAGGGGCGGGGTACACCCTGGACCGGTCGCAAGTCCATCACAGGGCCACATAGAGACAAACAACTATTCACTCTCTAACTCACACCTAGGGGCAATTTAGAGTTACCAATCAGCCTAACATGCATGTTTTTGGTCTGTGGGAGAAAACCGGAGTACCTGGAGAATACTCACGCATGCACAGAGAGAACATGCAAACTCCACCCAGAAAGGCCCCCGGACCGGGATTTGAACCTGCGACCTGCTCGCTGAGAGGCAGCGGCTCTATCCGTTGCGCCACCGTGCTGCACAATTAAAGATAAATATTATAAAGTTCTAGCTTTACAAAGAGCTTTTTTATAAGTTAGCAAGCTATTTCTCCAAGATAAATAAAAATCTGCTATGTTAATGAAGCGCCATTTTCTTTCCAGCTTTCTAGATGCCTATTTTGAAAGTACGTAACTCAGAATTGAACCATGGAGCCAGTCCCCTCTGATTAATTACTTTATTTTTCAGTGGAGCAGTTTAATCGAGGGAAGTTTGCAAATAAGTTGTAAATTTATCAACCAGATGATCTAAGTCACTACTCTCTGATGCATTACTCTGCAAGACAGAGGAATACAATGATGGAAGACATTGTTTAAATTTGGTTACAGCGTTTTCTGATAAACACCTGCTAAGATGAAATTTACTCTCAGTGACTGTGTAGTCATTTAATGTAAACTAATGTAAAGTTTATTAAAAAATGATCAAACAGAACAGGATTTTGAAGATGTATTTCTAAGTCCTTAATCTCTGTGCCATAAGTCAGAACCAGATAAAGAGTGTGATGATGAGAATGAGTGGATGTGTGGACATTTTGGGTAAAACCAATTGACTTTATTCAAGTTTGAAAGGCTATGCTTGAACTATCACTTTCGACATCTACATGAATATTGAAATCTCCCATTATTATGATTTTATCAGTATGTAGTAGTAAGTCAGTTAAGAATTGTGAGAATTCAGACAAAAACTGAGCATAGGAGCGATATATAACAACTAGTAAGAGTGGCCATTCCATTGTCCATTTAGGATGGGATAGACAGAGACAGCGACTCAAAAGTATTATAACTACAAATTGGTTTAGTATTAATCAATAGTCCCGACTGAAAAATAGAAGCTACTCCTCTGCCTCGGCCAGTAATCCACATTTAATGATTTTATTCCTTTGTTCTGGTAAAGTAACTGTGTTTATTTTAATAAGATTTTTATGATTCATATATTTTGAAATGATTTGTGGTTTATTTAATTTTAGTTGTGGGTGAGTTGGCACTGTCTTACTGGTGTTTTGGGTGGGTAAAAAAGGAGAAGCAGCAGAGAGGTGTGGAGGACTACAACTCTGCTTCCTGGACTGATTTATAGACTAGACTGTTGGTTGTCAATAATTTGGATATCTAACAGAATCAGCAAAGTTTTTATGGATAGGAGTTACTCAATTCAAAATTGAATGGGAGCAAACTCTCTGCATCAGACCAAGTTTTCCCCAAAATTCACTCCATTGTTTTCAGAATACCACATGGACACCCAGCGGTTAAATGCCATCATATGACTAAATATGTTATCACAGGTCAGGTTGGGGAGGGGGCCGGAGAAAATTACAGAGTCCGACATAGGTTTTGCAAAGTTACACACCAAAACAACATACATTTTTGTGACCTCTGATTTGCATAATCAAGTTTCATTCCCTCCGATGTAAATAACAATTTTACTGTATTTAGCCTTAGCTTTTGCCAGTAGTTTCAGGTAGGATTCAATGTCAACTGCTCTGGCCCCTAGAATGTATATGATTGTAGTCTGAGTCGCAAGTGCCACTTTTCGGACTATGGAGCTGCCAATAACGAGAGTCTGCTCCTCAACAGGTGTCTCACTAAGCATGGAATATCGATTTGAAACTTGAGCAGGTGGGTGGCTAACCGGGGGGGTTAGTTTTAGCATTATGCTTCCTTTGTACTGTCACCCAGCCAGCCTGCGGTTCTGAACTGCTAAGGGGAGGAAACTGATTTGAAATGTGATTTGAAACGTGAACATGAACAAGTTGATGGTGAATCGGGGGCTTAGTTTTAGCATTAAGCTTACTTTGTCTCGAGACCCAGTTACACTGATAAAAAAAAACTGAAATCTTGAAAGATAAATGACCATGGTGGAATTGGTTTTAGGTTGGGTGATCAAGCGATGTGAATCTAATGCAGGCAGTCACTCAGCAATGGTACGATCTCAGCTTTAGGTGCACTGAATTAGCCAGCTAGTTAGCTCAAGCACCTCGATGCAGCACCTTGAGTCTGTCTCCGTCTGATTTCAGCTTTGTGTGAGTTGAATCCAAATCCAACAGATTAGCTTACTTTTAGGTCATATTTATGCAGAACTATAGGAAATTCTAAATGCTTCACAAACATTCAAGCACCAATACTAGAATCTAACAATGATCTGGTTACAACCAACACATACACATGTAAATAACAGCAAATGATGTATGAATTTTTCAATATATATTTAAAAATGCAAGACAAAGTCTAAAAGCTGTGTATGGGGAATTAAAACATTGCAAGTTTTGGTGGCTAGTTCAGCTACTTTGAGCAATAATAACTGGAAGTAACAATCTTCCATATTATCTCATCAGTCATTTACACTTATCTATAAACCTTTTCCCACATGTCTTCAAGTTGCTCCTCTTTATTTAGGGTTATGAGCATTTGCTTTTGAACAGCTCTCTTTAAGGTCCTGCCTAAGCAACTCAATGAATATGTGATCTGGAATTTCTCCTCATCATGTGCTTTTTTGTATTCTTTTCTGGTTTCAATAGAAGAATATAACATTTTGGAGCAAAAATACTTAAAAGCAGCCCAAAACTTGAGGCCAATATAGCAAATATCTCTACAGCTACAGTAAACTTTCCAGGAGAGCTAACATATGCAGGGATAAATGTGACCCACACTGCACTGAAGATCAACATACTGAAGGTGATGAACTTGGCTTCATTAAAATTATCGGGAAGCTTTCGAGCCAGAAATGCAAGGATTAAGCAAAGCACAGCTAACAGGCCTATGTAACCAAGTACAACCCAGAAGGCTACTGGTGAACCTACGTCACACTCCAAAATAACAATTTCAGTGGTATGAGATGTATTTCTGTGTGGAAAAGGTGGAGCGAAAGCTAACCATAGCACACACACTAACACCTGAATTAAAGTACAGCTAAGAACATTTGTCCTCTGAAAAGGAGCAGAACACTGTGGAAGTGTGTTTGCTGGTTGACTAGCCTTAAAGGCAACCACCACTGTAATAGTTTTAGTTAAAATACATGATATGCACAACGCAAACGTTATGCCAAAAGCTGTATGACGCAGCATGCAGGACCACTCAGTGGGCTGTCCAATGAAAGTCAGAGAACACAGGAAACATAGAGCCAAGGAGAAAAGTAGCAGGAAACTCAGCTCAGAGTTACTGGCTTTGACAAGAGGAGTGTGACGAAATCGAATAAACACAAAAAGGACCACCAATGACAAAGTTGCTCCCAACAGTGAGAAAGCCGTGAGAAGAGCTCCCATAGTCTCTCCATATGTTAGAAACTCGATCACCTTCGGAACACACTTGCTGCAATCGTGATTTGACCAGAAGTCTGGTGGACATCGTGAACACTCTGCAGAATCTGATGGGAAAACAAGAAACATTGAAATGTGGTCATGGTGTAATTGGAAACATTTGATGATTTAATTCATAATTCTTTAGATAGTATTTGTACAAAAAAAGGGAGTGTATTGGAGGAATATGCTTTACTCACTGCTGGAGTTGCTGATCTCTCCAGCAGCACAGGCGACACAAGAGAAGCAACATAAAGGTTTGTTTTTAATCATCGCCTGTCGGAAACCTGGAAGACAACTTTCACTGCAGACAGACACAGGCCTCTGTAACAAAACGGAAATTAAACTATTTTGTTACTATTATAGTAAATATCATTTTTTTAATTGTTTTTTTTAATATGTGGTTTATCAAACTTCTGCTTTTAGCATTAGCTTTACATTTTTATTTATTTCAGAAAAAAATACATATCTTAAGATTGTATACTTTATTTAGAATTAAACAACGACAACAAGGAAGGATTAGAAGACATATTTATGATTTAGTCTAAATAAGGATGTGTAAACCCACTTTTGACTTTTGATGTTTTATGCAGAGTATTTTCACACCCTTTTATGCCCATGTTGGTTTAGACCAAGCCTTAAATTCACAACATTTTTTTTTCCATACACTTAGCTCAAACAATTTCGGTTTTATTTATTCATTACATTGTATCAACCACCATAGATGACATTTTACACATAATGTGCTTGTTACCTCCCAGGACTCTCCAGCCCATGTTATATTTATTCCATTCATAGTAAATAGTTTTCCATTTGGCAGTGAAGCATCATAGCTCCCCACAGTCATGAACACAATTTCTCTTGCCATATTTTTCTGCCAGTTCACAAGCTCATATGTTGCTACAGGGTCTCCATTTTTATCAAAATACACTCTCTCCCCTGACTGAAGAGAGAAATTTACTTCTTGAAGATGTTTCATCACCTTGTCAATACAGAGTAACAAAGCATTTCTTTAAAACAGGCTTTATTAAATAGTGTGCTGTACAGTATATTTTGTAAGGCCTTACCTCGCTTGGCTCTAAATTATTCATTAAAATACAAGAGTGAATATCTACTCCACCACTTTGTCCACATGTAAACACTTTATGCATGGCATGAGCAACAGCATAAACAGCTTTGTATACGTTGTTGGATATTCTGAGCTCTGACACATCTGTGAAATCATTGTTAACATCCTGAAGTTTCTCAAAGCCAGAACACTGTTTTGAGCTGTGTGGATTAGCCTGAAAACTGCAGCCAAATGTTGTTTCCCAGAATTCTCTCAGCAGATTGTTCTGAGGATCCTGACTTGGATGAACCTGCAAAAGAAACTCTTGCAGACCTTTGATTTTAGCCTTTCTTATGGCAAAACCCAGTGACCCTGTTAGTATACTGGAAAATCTCCTGTTAGCGAAATGACTTGATGTAATCCAAGATTCACTGCCCACCCACTGCAACCCAGTCAAGTTCTGTCTCAGAGACTCCTCAAGCAGAACATCCATCTCACCTTGTGCAAGGAAAGCAACTAAAACTCTTGCTGTGCCTCTCTGAATCACTCTGACAGTTCTCTCAACCTGCTCTGCAGAACCCGTCCTTGAGATGGCCTCAGAGTATTCAACACAAACCCCTTCCTGATGTGCAGCAGTGATAAATGTTGCCATCCCATTGTTACCATAGTCATTGTCACTTCTGACTGCACCAACCCAGGTCCATCCAAAGTGTTTGACCAGTTTAGCCAGTGCTCTGCTTTGGTAGTAGTCACTAGGAATGGTTCTGAAGAAGGAGGGATACTCATTTCTGTTACTGAGACATGCACATGTAGCAAAGTGGCTGATCTTTCAGAAAGAGAAGGATAAGAAAGAATACATAACAAACATCAATACATAATAGACATTTTTAGTGCCAAAACATACTGCTTTTAACTAAATTTGTCACCTCTTTGTAAATTTTGAAGATCAAACTTTCAGCATTTATTTAATAACAATACAGCTGAGGCTGTTTGAGCAATTTCTTTACAGTGTCAGAGCAATAGTTAAAAATAATTCATTAGCTTAACATATATAAGTTTTACCACTGGAATTTGGAAACTCCCTGAAATCTGTAGTATTGCGATTGTTGAGGAAGACTCAGAGGTTCCAATGATGACATGAACAGACATCTGACTTTGGCAGGTATTAATCAAGTCCTTCCCTTGTCCATTTATTAAATGCATCACTGCATGTGTTGAAGGAAGTGTTAAACCACAGCTGTCAAAAATTTTATAACCAATTTTGATATTAGGCAGTAAAGAACTGCTATTATTTATCTCCTCAATAGCAAACATCATTGTTTGAGCAAATTGAAATTCTCTCAAATTTATTCTGAAATGGAGAAAAGATGATGAAATTTTATACCTTTATTCATTGTTAGAAACATAATGACACTGAAATCAAGTATATTCTGTACCTTGAGCATATTAGAGGGTCTGGTGGTTCAGTCATGGAGAGTGAAGGCTTTGAGATTTGGCTATAGATGGAAAAAGCTCCTCCAATAGAGATATCTCCTTTCCTAAACAGCAGAGGAAACTCTGGCCTCCCCAGCATCCGACAGAAGACTGTGCCATTGTCTGCTCCGACAGCTCCCAATATAATAAAAAAAAATGAAATTCCACATATGTAGTCATGCATATTTATTAAAAAAAAGTGTGTAGACGTATCCACAATCTTGAACAAATACATTTTGTATCACAGATTAAATGCTGATATTTTATACTTGCACATATGATGATGATTGCGTTTGTCTAATTAAGTCCCAATGTGACAACAATGATGTCAGGCTGCTTTGTCATTACAATTATTATTGTGAATTCATTTTTGCCCCCCTTCACAGAGCAACGAGGGGTAATGGAAATACCCTCCATCCATTTGTTCATCCATGCATGTTGTGAGCATGATAAGGTATCAACTTCCATTTAGGTGCGTGGTTACATTTTAGGTTAAAGAAAGGTTCCTTCAAAAAATTGAGTTACCATGTCAAAATCCAAGATGACAACCACCGTAAATGTCCATCCCAATGTGAGTTGGGTAACTTGAAAAATAAGCAAAGTACCAACTTGTATTTTGGTATGCTTCATCTAGGTGTAAAAAAATATCACTTATCAAAAATCAGGTTGACAAGCCAAAATCAAAAATGGCCACCACTATGTATAAAGCAGTCCCTCATCACTTGAGGAAACTATACTTTTTCGTTCTTATACTATTTACAACTATAGTTTCCTCAAATTATTAGGTAAAAAAACAATCAAACAAAAAAAAAATCATGCCGACTTCCAATTTTGTGTGTGGCTGCATCTAGGCATAAGAAAGGTCAGTATCAAAATGTGTGCTTCCACTTCAAAATCAAAGATGGCCACTGCCATGTTTATACATGCAAAGCGACTACCCATTAATTGAAGAATCTATGCTTTCTAGTTAATATACTGTTTACAATTATATTTTTCTCATATGATTGTGGTAGTTGAAGATTAGCCATATGGCTCAGAAATTGAGCCTGGTGGTGGATTATGCAGGATCTGTCACCTTGACACAAGAACAGAGGTAATGAGAAGTTGTGATGGGAGGTCAGATGATTGGGGGGGTGCCTGAGAGAGATTTGATGGTTTTCCAGAATCTGTTAGGGTCATTTAGATTTTTAGAGGTCTGAGACAAGAAATAGTTGCGTTTTGCAGCTTTGATGGCAGTTGTGCATTTATTCCTCATCTGCCAAAAACTCAACCAATCAGTGTCTGAGTCAGATTTTCTTGCTGCAACCCAAAGATGATCTCTCCTGCGCAGGAGGTCAGCTAGCTCTGGAGTAAACCAGGGGCTGTCTCATCCCTTTATTATGAACTGACGCAAAGGAGCATGTTTGTTCATAAAATAGATAAAACTATTATGAAAATAGTTCCAAGCGGTGTTCACAACGTCAGTTAGTAGAACACGATGCCAGTCAAAGTGGGATAAATCTCAAAGGAATGACTGTTCGCAAAAACATTTCAAATCCCTTTTTTGAATTAATCTGGGCTTAGAAGGTGGAAGTTTAATACTTTGTATCTCTGAGAGTCGCTGTCACACAATGATCACTCAAAATATTGGCGAATACACCTGTACCAGGGAATTTGTGTGGCATATTAGTTAGAAACAGGTCTAAGATGGAAGATTTTTCAGGCCGTTTTTTGTTTGGTTTAGTGGGAGAGTCGTTCAGTTGGGTTAGATTGAGTGACAGGCAACATTCCTTGAATTTATCACAAAGGGGGGGTAGACTTATCCCAGTCAATGTTGAAATCTTCTGCAAAAAAATCTCTTTGAATTTTAAATTTCCAAGGAATTCCATCAGGGAGGACAGAGCCTCATGTGTTGCTGAGGGGGGAAGATAACAACCCACTACAGATACGATCTGGCCTCCATTCAAAGTGATGTTTACAGCTAAGGCATCAATTTGGTTTGGAATTGTTTTTGCAGACACAAGACTCGAAACCAGAGAATCTCAGATGTAAATTGCGTCTTCACCCCCCACCCCACCCTTTTTTTTTGATGATCACAGTGGTAGATGTTAAATCCATTTATAACCAGGTCATTATTCAGTACAGATTTGTTGAGCCAGGTTTCAGAG